TATGCTGGCAACAAACACAAAAACAATATCAACGCCAACAACAATAATCCAGGGCTGTAAAACCAAAGTAGCAATAGTTGATAAAAAAGGCCAGTCCCCAACCGAGAGCCAAATAAATATGCATGTGTTATGCTATAAGTATAATGGGATCCTCCCCACATCATAACGGAGTTTAGCGCTAAAGAAAGGGCAAGGTTGACATGGAAGGTTCGTGCCCACATATAAATAAATGGCAACGAAAAAGTAGTGCCCTTATTAGAGATTTGAAAGTATATGCAATAAGTAGAACTACTGATGCAAGTGCGGAGTCATGCATAAGTATATAAGTGAAAACTATACTCAGCAGCTGGGTTGACTACAGCTCCCTCGCTTTACAAGCAGATGACTCGAAAAGAAGGATATAAAAGAGATACGACGATAGCGTTGCAGCAGCTGAGTTATCATTACCGGCGATACCATCGTCATACCCTTTTACCCTCCTATCAAAGCTCTGGTTTTGTTCAGTAGCATCTATATTATTGCCGTTGTCACCGATGCTCCCTGGCTCTATATCATCATTACCCGTTTTTCCAAGCCCAAGCTGATAACAATGACAGCATCACAATGCGGCAGCCGCAGCCATGGTCGACACAGTACAATCGGCGGTGACGGTATTGGAAAAAATCTTCAAATTTTGTACATAAGTATGTATATGTTCAGTAACTGTAACAATAAAGTTTGAATAGATGTGGCTCGAGGGCAGAGAATGGTAATAGCGAGCAAATAACTTAGTACAAGTATTTTCCCCTTTTGTGCTCGCCAGCATAATTGATAATGAGGAAGTGGAGGAAATTGATATTCTGCTGCACTTGAAATTGTTTTCTTGTAGTGAAGTTCCTTTATTAAATTTTACAAAGGCAATAGGAGCCACTATATGTGGACTTTATACGTACATACACACATACATATATGTCGTATATGTATATTTGTGGAGGTATACGTTTTCAATTAAATGACTTAACTAGCTTCAAACGAATTAAAAATTTTAACTTCGGTGTTTCATAAGATATGTCATTAAACGAAACTTAGCTACAACAAGAAAAATGTTAACTTCAGTTGCACCGAAACTATAATGCACAAATACAAAGGCTCCTTACAAGAATTTGATTCCGTTCGTTCACTTTGTATGGCAGCTATATAATATAGTGATCTGATCTTAACAATTTCTGTGGAGAATACATCGTTGCCTTGAACAATAATTCGTGCTTAATTTCGGGAAGATATTTCGTCAAATCAAAAAGTTTTCCTTTCAATCATTTTACTCCGATCGTTCAGTTATTATGGCAACTATATGCTATAGTCATCCGATCTATACAATTTTTTCGAAGATTGCATTATTGGCTTAGAAAATAAAAATTTTGTAAAGATATTACGTCAAATAAAAAAGTTTCCCATACAAGTACTTGATTGAGCTCATCATGCTGATGATTTATGTATATATGTTTAAGGGTGTTCCGACCTTTCCTTCTGGGTGATACAAACTTCGTGGCAAACTTAATATACCCTGTTCAGGGTATAAACATAATAAAAAAGAGATGGTTTCGATGGAAAACATAGTATTTTTTATACTCTCGCAAAATGTTGTAATAGAGAGTATAATAGTTTTTTTCAACTAACGGTTGTTTGTATCATCCAAAACTAATCGAAATAGATTTAGAGATATATATTTGCAAATGATTAAGCAGGCGAGACGACTTGAAAACCGGGTGACTGTTTGTCCGTCCGTCTGTCTGTGCAAACTGCAAATGGGGCAAAAATTGTGATATCGTCGGGAGGCCGGTATTCTAGGTGGGCGTAATCGGGCCGCTGCCACGCAAACCAAATGGCATTAAGCGAAAGCCTATAAAATGCTAAAAATAAGCTACAAATGAAGATATGAAACTGTAATTTGGTACAGGAGATCGCCGATGTGAGGAGCACCTGTGGATTGAAAATTTTTGTAAAATGAGCGTAACTCCGCCATTTTTAGGTATGTATATTTCAACCAAGCTTGAGTTATATCAACCAAGTTATATCAACCAAGCTTGATATAGCTGAAGCCCACTCACCATATGTTGAAAACTACTTAATGCGCGATAACTCAATAAGTAAATAGCCAGAAGCATTAAATTTCACATTCTATATGACAAGAAGGAGCTTCATAGGTGAAGCCGCCTTTAGGTGAAATTTTTTATCTTAAGCCCTGCTGCACCAATTTCAACCAAATTCGGTACATAACACTACCTAAAAGTTACTATTTCCCGTTGTGAAAATAACGAAACCGATTAAAACCCACGCCTAAATTCCGTATAACACTATTATAAATTCCATCTGATTCTTTTGCTTTCCAGTTTACAAATCAAGCTTCATTGAATACAACGGCATAAAATATATACGAGTATAGTGTCTTTAAGGTTTGGCTTTCCGTGCTTAAATATGGCAAAATCGGACACTAATATTGTTCAAGCATCCAGATACTGAATATGAGGACCCCAGGGCCTATTTCATACTGAATATGGGGACCCCAGAGTATATTACTAACTTTTTACCGAAATTATCGGTCAGTCTGTGAGATATATTATTAAAATTCGGAGAGAATTCCTTTCTGATAATAGTATGCCTGTAAATCAAATTGAATCGAGTAAATACTTCCCTTGGCACTCATAAACCTAATATTAAGATTTTCGATCTTCCAGTTGACTTAACACTGCAAATATCCGACAATATATAAGTTATTGTAATGATTAATTACTTTTAGGAGCTTCTAACATAATTCAAATTTATTATATTGTCTTGCAACGTGTTGCGAGAGTATGCGAACATATAAATGTACCTCAGAATACTCTCTTATATCAATTTAACTCCATGACTTTGTTGTTGCGTTGTCATGCTATGCCATGTCTATATTTTCCGTGTGCCCCCATATTTTCTATTTCACGAAAATGTTGCTTACGATTACAACACTGGACTTGAACGGACATATTTTGTATAACACACATGAAATTTTAATAAAACTTAGTAGCCATGTTAGCTATAGTATAGTAAAAGCAAAACTAAAACTAAAGATGTTTAAAGCAAAATGCACAAACATATAACAATGATGTTGTATAATATTATAGGAGACTTATTGAAAATATTTATATATTTTATAATTAAAAAAAAAAAAACTTTCAACGGATTGATATGCGATTAAGAAGCTATACCTATGTCGTAATAACTGAAAATTTGAAACATTTTCTCGGCACTTTCAACATATTAGCTACTCTCAACCTCTTTAATTTGATATCCAACTGTCATCCTTTTAACTTTATTTTCTTAGTACTCTACAGTTCTATATCAAGATTGTATTATTTTCTATCTCATAAATTTTTATACTCTACAGAGTATAATAGTTTTGTTCAGCTAACCGTTGTTTGTATCACCTAACCTAACCTAACCTAGATATAGGGTAATATAGGTATGTACAAGTATTATATCCCTTTTGATCAGGATGATGAGACGTGTTGAAATTCGAGTGACTCTCTGTCTATCTGCCACACAACGTCATTAATCGATAACCTATAAATTACGATAAGTAAGCCGCAAATTAAGATACAAAACCGTAACTTGGTACAACTAATCCCAATTATGAGCGACAATTGAGGTTTGAAAATTTTTTAAAAGTGAGTATGGCCCCACCCCCTAATAGGTTTAATGTATATATCTCCTAAACTATTTAAGCTATATCACCAGAATTTGCACAGGACATATCATTTGGACACTTTTTGTCACAGCATGAAAATAGGTGAAAAAGTCCCATCCACATTCTTCATGTAACGGTTTTGTTAAAAACTACTAAAACTGTGATAAATCAATACCGAAATGCATCAGAGATATTAAAATATACGTCCGAGATGAGTTAAAAGGATTTTTTTGAAGTCAAAATTGGATAATGGGCGTGGCACCGCCCACATTTAGGGGATATCACATATCTTTGGACCTACTTCACCAATTTCAAACAAATTAGGCACATCAGATCATTTTTACATTCCTATGTAACAGTCCGAAAATAGGCGGAATCGGTCAGTAACCGCGACTTCTTCCCATATAAATTCAATCTGAGTTTTTTTCTTTCAAGTGTACAAAGCAATCACTAATTAATATATCGGAGTAAAAATTTGTATGAATCATTCCTTTAAGGTATGCAGTTATGTTAAGTATGCCATCTCAGATCTTAAGTTTGTCAAATCAGACCATAGCTATTCAAGCCCCCATCGGGAATGAGGACTCCAGAGCCTATGGCTGACTTTTTGCCGAGAATAGTGGTCATTATGTGAGATATATAATTGAGATTCGTGTGATTTTTTGGCAATAATATACCTAATATAGAGATTTTTGAACTTCCAGTTGACTTTAGACCACATTTATCGACCAAGGTGCTAGTTCTTTTAATGAAATTTGTGCTTAAAATTTATAAAATCGGGCGAAAACTTGCCTTAGCCCGCATATAATTGATATTCGTGATTTTGAAACGTCCGGCTAACTTTGCTCAAGATATTATATGTATGCATAAACATATATATTTATATATAATATTTATAAAATTGCTTGGAAATAACTTCTCAAGTATATCTGAACAATGTCAAAAATTAATGCAATTAGTCCTTCCATTTCTAAAATATAGTAATAAAACAAAGTGAGTCTATGACCTTCAAAATAAGTTAATATGGTACCAAATTGGTTTTTACTGTTAAAATATTGCATTATTTTAAATTATTTTCGTTCAAATGGGTGCATAATGTAATTATTTAAACGCTAATTTCATTGCTCATTAACTATGTACATACATACAAGTATATCAATTTAATATTCGCTTAAAGGTAAATATCAACAATTATGTACATAAATTTCATAGCTATCCTAAAATAATAAACAATTCACATTAATCAATAAAAAGTAGAGGACTTACGGTATGGAGTATGAACAATAATGTACGCACTCACCATAAACATTCAATCTCGCCGAGTGCTCCACACTTCCCATCGAATTGGTGGCGATACACTTGTAAAGGCCGCCATCGTCTGGACGCACATGCGACATATTCAAGTGACTAATCACATCGCCAGATATATCGACGAACTGACCGATGGCAAAGCGGTGATGCAGCGAAACGTCCATTATCGGCTGGGAGTCCAACACCCAGGCAAACTGCAAAAAAAGAACAAAAGCGACTCCATAAAATAATCCCTTATGCAAGCAACGCCATACGATTTTGCACCGTAGTTTACGTATATTTAGGTATGTCTGTGGGTGTGTATATGTGTTATCGCATTTAAATTGCAGCAACAAAATGCCATTGAAACTTGCAACTTTTATAGGTGAAATATGAAGCATGAGCGTAGCGAACGATGTACTTACTTGCGGTGGCGGCGAACCACTGGCAGAGCACTTAAGCGATATTAATGGCCCCGGCCGCACATTTTGCTCAATAAAGGTGTAAATTAGTTCAGGCACGGTATCTAGAAGAAGAACGGGAAAACTCGTCTCTTGTAGTATTTTTAAGTTTTAAATACTTCGATATCGGTTATTAATTATTTATTTGTTAAGCAAGATGTTATGCCACATTTGCACTTACCGCCCAACTTCAATTCGGCCATGGCTTGGGCACTGGCTCTGCTATTCTTCACCAAGCACTGATAGACTCCCCGATCTCTACGTCCTACGTTATGTACCATCAGCGATGTTTTCGTAAGAAACTGTATGCTGTAGATGACAAATAAAAATGTTGACATTAGCCGAAATATTCATACACAATATTATGTACTGTACATATGTACATACTACATTTGCACAATATATGCCACACCCCTAATTACGAGAAACCAAGGTCATGTGTATACATATGTACATACACACTTATGTGCCAACTGTATAGAAAATGATGCTTACTGCATATATATGTGTGAGGGATGACGGAAGCGTCGCATGTGTTTAGATTTACATAACTGCATATAAATTGGTTCACATATTTCACATGCATATGTAAATTCGTTCGTGAGAATGAACGGGTTTATCGGCACGTGGGATATGCAACATATTGTTTGCATTGTACAAAAATACCTGCCCCGTTAGCACAGTGTGTAAAAATGTGTATGTGATTCCTGACGGAACCTACTAGGGAGGTTGGTATTGCCAATGGGCGGAACCGGACCATTGCCACGCCCACAAATGCCATTAAACAAAAACATTTAAAGTGCCATAACTAAGCCGCAAATTAAGAGTACAAGAGATTGCCGTAGCCAGGGACACCCCTGGGATAACATTTTTTTAAAGTGGGCGTGGCTCCTAAAAGGTTTAATGTATACATCTTCTAAACCGTTTTAATATATCAACCTTACTTGCTCAAAAGAAGTAATTTTATCACCTCTTCAAACTCTGCGAAAATGCGTAAAATCGGATAATAAACACGCCCACTCCCCATATAACGGTTATGTTAAAAACTACTAAAAGTAGTACTATAACTGAATAAATGAACCACAAGCATTAAATTGTCAAAATCGCATTATAATTTGTCCCAAAAATGGGTAAAAGCAGTCCAACACTTCCCTTAGTCCCCATATACCTAACATAAATATTTTCGAACTCCAATTCAGAAAGAATATTTTTCTAATAACAGTGTATCCTCGTTCCTTAAATGAATGAAATCACGGCGATACTTTCCTAAGATTGATAAAAATTTTTTCTAAAGTCTGAAAGTGTTACTTCGCCTTTGTTCCTTGCAAGTTTCAAGAGTATAAAATTTTCGGTTACACCTAAATTAGCCTTTCCTTATTTGTTAAAAATGTTTATGGTGACAGTTTCCCAGTTTACTATTAACTGTCTTCCACCTCTGTAGACTTTTGCAGTAAGGATGTACAAGTTCAAAAAAACTTTGATTGGATTAAAGTCCTTACTTATTACTGACCATTGTAATAAGTGGAGGTTTTTCGACTCCAGAAATGAGATCGTCCAAATACAATATAATTTTTCACAATATGAGTCATTAAAAAATTTTTTTGAGCTGCACTCTTTATTGATATTCTTAAGACTTGTTATATAGATAGTGTGTCTACTTAATCCTAGTACATACACAGATTCTTTTGTAACCCAAACCGGTTTATTGTGGGCGAGTGGACAACGAGGAAAGACGAAGCTTTGTGTTCTTGTTTATAACAGCTCGCTGCTATGCAATTCAGCCTTCCTTTTCATTTTGAGACTCTTTTCATGGTTGCAATTGAGCTCGGTTTCAAGTGAATATATACGATATGTATTATGCAAATATTTATGTATAGAATAATAAAAATATTTTGAAAAATTGTAAATAATGTTAATAAGGAGAAAATTAAGTTACTCAAAAATATTTAATTTAAATTTTAACAACATATAGCGATATTATACCTATGTAATAATATACGAGTATACATAAAAGAATTCTAATAAAAATGGTTAATTTACTTTTTTAGATTTACATAAAATATTAAGATGGTTTCATATGTATTTCTTTTAACCGCAAAGGATTTAGTTCGAATATCATTTTATTTAAAACAAGAATGGTAATTAACTCAAGGACGTTTTATAATATATATAAAAAAGTATGGAGGAAAAAATTATGGATTTTTAATACTTAACGATTAGGAAATTATATTGTTATAAATTTGGCCTTGAAAATATTAGTAGAGGGTATATTGTACATTATGGTGGATTCGGGAATTCCCGACTTAAGTATTCCTTTGAACCTATTAAGCATTAATTATGCATATTGTTCTACCTTATTCACGGTAATTCATTGCAAGCAAAATGTGAGACCATAGTCCCAACATACAAATGAAAATTTTATAAAAAGGAATGACAGAAAAACTCGATTTGAGAATATTTTTGCTCGTGTGAATGCACAGAGCGACACCAAAAGAGAATTTGCGATAATGAGGGTCAAAAGAGTCCCCATGTAAACTCAGTATTATTACTATAAAACTTTGCGGATAACATTATTTTAATATTCTTAAGAACATATTGTGAAAATGTCCGAAATTGCACGACAACCACGCCTAGTTCCTACTTGTATATCGTATATAACAAATATAAATTCTTTATGATTCCTTCGCTTCACAGTTTATAAATCGAGAGCCAATGGCGATATCGAAATAAAAATTTAACACAAACATTACCACTAAGGTTTTCTATCTCACGTCATAAAATTGTCGAAATCGGACCATAACTTTTTAAAGCCCCAAACACCGAATATGTGAACTTCAAACTGCGAAGACTACTATTAAAATTAGAAGAAAATATGTTTATGATAACAGCAAGCTTTTTTGTCAAAAATGAATAAAATCAGGGCAATTATTCCCTCAGTCCCCATATGCTTCATATAAAGCTTTTCGAACTACCGGTTGACTTTATTCCTTAAATATTGGGCTGTTTAGACAAAAAATATTCAAAAATATTTGTTGAGTTCAAAACTTCAATGGAGATTATTTCCTATAAGTATATTAAGGTGAGCTAAATTTTTTCAAAGCTAAGTGTATAAATTTACATTTTAAACTATTTTTTCAAGTGACATTATATTCTTAGTCAAGCACATAAATTGTGCAGTTTCGTTAATCGATGTATTTTCGAGATAAAAACTATTAAGGTTTGAGATGAGACTACAGATAGACTCATTGCTTTTCCTTCCTCCTCTTTTTCCTTATCCAACAAATGTGCTCACGGAAAACTTTTAAGTCACCTATCAACCACTGCTGAATGTGTTTACAGACATATGTACAAGTAATAAAATGAATAGTAAAATATCTGCAGTTTAAAATTTTTTTTAAAGTGGGAGTGGTTCTGTTCTCTAATAAGTTTAATGTGCATATCTCCTATACCACTGAAGCTATAATAACAAAATTCACTGAAAGCAAATGTTTTTAGCAACCTCTAACTACGAAATCGGACAACAACCACGCCTATTTCCCATGTAACACCATTTTAAATTCCATTTGATTCTTTCACTTTCCAGTATGCAAATCAAGCAACAATGATTATATCGGCGTAAAACTTTGCACGAATAATACGTTTAAAGTATGCCACCTTGTGACCAAAAAGCCCCCAGGTACTAAATTAGTGGACCCCAGTGCCTAGAGTTGACTTTTTACCGAAAATATCGGTCAATGTATAAGATATATTATATAATTGAAATTCACATAATAAAATTCTCGATAATGGTATGTTTTTGTGTCAAAAATGGGTTGAATCGGTTCAATATTTCCTATAGCCCTCATATACCTAATATAAAGATTTTTGAACTTCCGGGTGACTTTATACCGCGTATATCGGCCAATATGTGAGTTATCTCAATGAAAATTAGACAGCTTGTTTTGCTGACAACAAAAAATCTTTGTATATAAAATGGATGAAATCGGGTGAAAATTTTACTTAGTCCCCATGTAATAAATATCAGTATTTTCGAACATTCGTCTGACTTTACTCCATATGATTGGTGAAAGATCCACAAATTTGCTCTGAAGAGCAAATAAGAAATACTCGAGGTTACAGATCTAGTCGAGAAAATCCCGAGGTACGTTATGATGAACAAAGTAGGAACACTAGGGATCATAGAGAACTTCGCGCAAGAAATCCTGAGTATAGGACTTTAGAGGGCATTCGTGATCAAATGCAAAGGGAACTTGCAAGAACAAATCCTGAAATAAGGAGAGAGGAGCGTGATAGAGAACCACAACGTCGACAGCTTAGTAGGGGTTGTATGAGGAAAGAAATTTTGAATCAGAGACGTCTTAGACCAAGTCAAGTTTGCCTTCGTAGAGATAACCCGCTCAATAGGCAAATTAAAAATCAATGACAGTCCCAACGAATCCGTTTAACGAAAGAAAATAATGGTATAGAAACTGATAATCTTGGCAGTTTAACAGATTTCAAAAACATTTATTTCCAAAATATAAATAAGGGCTGAAATATGTATTTGCTGCGGCGGAATATGGTTTTCACACCAATTCGCAAATTAAATTTCGAAACTATTGCGCCTGAATGCTGCCTTCTTTTTAATGCAAAAATTTCCTTCGGAAGATGGAAATTACAATTTGTGTGGTACTTGCAAAAATATATTTAGCTATCAGTCTAGACTTTCCTGAAATACCGGATTGTTTGAAAGGTTTAACCCCAATTGAAGAATGTCTCATAATGCCTAGATTGCTTTTTATGGCAATCCGTCCGTTAGGATATCAAGGTCAGAGTTTGCTCAAAGGTGCTGTTGTTAATATACCAATTTCTGTTAACAATATTGTGACATCTCACCTCCCTCACTGAACAATTTAGGCACTATGAAAAATTGTTCAAATCTTTTAAGTGCCTGAATAATTCTCACGAATCCTCTAAACCTGCTCCTAAGTGTAAACGTCCTTCCGATGAATAGCACTTAGTTCTTCTGTACAGAAAAGAACGTCTCCTCCCAATGACCTAATAAATCTCTCTTCTCCTTGCCCTCAAGGTGATAAGCCGTCAACTTCCAAAGAGCTCAATTCCCTAAAAGCTCTATCTAATAGTAATAAGTGGCTCACAATTCCAGAGGCTCCCCATATTAACTTAGTAACATCAGTTAATAATTTGATAGTTATTCCACCTAAAAAGTTTATATTTATTTCGAGACTTGCCAAAGATACCTTGGTGGAGGACATTAAATCTTACATTTCGCCACGTTTTAAAATCGATGATATCAATATCCGTAAATT